TTTTAAGGTCCTTTGAAAGACCTTCTTTCTATCCGTAGTGATGTTTTGACTTTTTCATATGCAAGTTGAACTGAATACTGATGTTTGCGCAGGTCCTGATGTCATCATGTATCTCCTAGGTAACGATACGACATTCCCTGTTTACCAGGAGAATTTCTGTGTCTTTTACACCTAACATTTTTAGTAATATGCTATTACCTTATGGCATGCCATTACTTTCTGACATGGCCAGCATCTCTACTTTTATCTCCATTCACTCCTTGCTTGAATATGTCGCGACTCTTGTATCAAGTATGCAAGTATCTTCTTACGTGGGCCTGTTCACAATGTTTAATTCAATCAAACATGTTTGTTTGCGTCAAGTATTAACCACTGCACAGCCATGAGGTGAAATCAAACAAGGATACATAATTATTGGTTTGTTTATGAACTTGAACGGTTGAACCAGCTGACGGTCTCAATTTCCTTGTTCTTCGTACTGTTTTATTGATCAAATCTCTAGCACCTTGACACATGTATAAGGTCAACCCAAACAAATCTTGATTTGTGAAGAGCAGAGTTTGAGACTCGCAGAATGAAGGGATAGTATAGTCCTTTCTTTGTTTAAATGATGTTGGTTTCATCTTTCATAGAGGCAAGGCAACTGCTTTGTTTTCCAAAGCGTGGCTCAAAATGTGAAACAAATACACTTTTATGAAAAATGGGCTCATACCCTTTGTGAGGTGTCCATGGGGCATTTTAATCTGAATAAATAACAAGAAAACGGCTTTTAAAGAAACCTTTTTATTTGTCATCCTTAAAGTAGAGAAAATATACTATTTTTGACTATTCCCGCAAAATCACTTATGCTGCAAAGAGATGCCATTGGTGGCTGAGGCCGCTCTAAGAAGTTGCAAGGGGTTGGAGCTTGAGCCCAAAAGCCCCCACACGGGTGGCTATGCATGGTGGTGCCCCAGAAGTTGATGTAAGGGCCGGTGTTACATAGACGTAGAAGAGATATTTGATCAGAAAAATAAAGTGACCTGTTTCTATTATAAGAGAGACTGTGAAATGGGATAGAGGCTAAAGCAAGACAAAGTTTGATCTTATTTTGGCCTATTGTTTTTAACATATTCGTCTACAAATCAATGAAAGCTCTGGGATTTTTCACCAAATAGAACCATCACTTTCTTTCCGTTTAAAGCTTCGCGTTAATTGTTTGCGGGGCCACCGAGAGGTTTCAAATTTTTGTGACCACGCCCTTCTGTTTAACTTAAAAAGCAATTCAGAATACTTTGCAATCCTGTGAAGTGTTTTTCAGACATACTTTTGCTAACTTAAAATTGAATTTACTGCTTTACGAGGCCCCCACAACTCGACGCCTTGGGCCATTTCCCCCCCCCTTTCCCTCTTTCGGCAGCCCTGATTATATGAATTTGTGCGAGGAAGGGGCAGAAAAATAGCCATTGTCCCATCCTTCTGACGCGCAGCGAAATTTTACATTTGCACAAAGAAAGTATGGAATTATCAACACAAATAAGTAGATTGTTCCATTTTCTACAGAACTGGTAGAAAAATGGCAGCATCCTGATCAAGTCAGTTTTGTATGTTATCACAGAAGAAGAAGAAACACTTCTGCAGTCGATGATAAGCCACTGCAAGCTCCTTCTTGCTTCTGTGCTGCCTTGATTTCACAATTTTCACTGATTCAACTGTATTGTTTTTTCATTTCCTTGTATTAAACACTGCTTAAAACGTCGTGAGTAGATTTTGACAAAACTGTTTCCGATATTTAGTGAGGTTTGTCTTTGTTATGTTGTCGTTACGTTGCAGTCATTGTAATTAGGTTATTGGCCGTCTGTCTCAATACAAAGACAAACCCAGTTCAAATGCACTCCACAAGAACCAATAAGCTGACTCCCCCTAAAAAAGAATTTGCTTGCCCCCACCAATGAACTATTGCAAAGTTCACCTCCCTTCAGCAATGAAAGTTGCACGAATCTCAAAGCATGTAAAGACAAAAAGGGTGTACCCTATACTTTTTTAACGCCTGAAGGACGTGGTCTTTAAAATTTTCGTTGTCTGGCTACATCCTCCAATCTTTACTACCTTTCTCTTAGTGATTCTTGCTTCCTTTATGACCACATCCCCATGATTTTGCCACTCGCTAGGCTTATGAGGCCATTGGTCGCAATAATTTCCCCATAAATGCTTCGAAGAACTTTACCATGTCGGCGATTACTAGCTCAAAAGTCAGAAAATGGGATCTCTAAGTACCTAACTTCTTTTTTCTAGTGGCTCCTTTGCAAATCTTACAGTCTTGAGAATGCTCTTGACATGTCCGTTAATAACAGGAAGAGTTTGTGGCTTAACTTTCGTATAAACCGTATTCGTGCAAATGGCCTGGTGTGCATGAATGCCCTCTTTGAATAATTCCCGTGTCTGTTAAGCACCTAGTTACACATCTCCGCCCATGTGACATTAGCCTTTCCGCTGCAGCTCAATCAATACTTTTTATGTACAATTTTAGGTCAATATTTTATCAACTGCAAAAAACAGGCGAAACAGGCCTATAACATAATCGAGGCTTTTGTATTCTTCTGGGAAATTATTTGCTCTTTATGTTTTTCTACACAACTGCTTCAGAAGCCAGGCATTGCAATTCAAAATTAAGAGCGCAAAAGATTAGATTTATCAATTTTATGCAACGTATTTTGCTAAATGCTGAGTTGGCTATGCCACTTGACCCCTTTGGCCTCGCCCCTGTGTTTGCGTTTAACTTTTCTATAGCTCTTGTGCAGGTAGATTCTGCTATACTAATAAAGAAAAATTGGCGTTGATAACTAAATCCATTTTTCTAAGTAGTTCTCCGGACTATTAAAGTTAGTTTAGGATTGTGCGTTCTGAAAGTTGCGCGCGACGAGTTGAGTGCGCGAGACGAATTTCCGCACAATATTTGAAAGAGAGATTCCAGTAAAACTCCCTTTCGCATATATTTAGATGTTTTCTTTATATATATAAAATATATATATAGAAAACATCTGTTTGATTACTAAGTAATTAATTTCGCATTATTTCTTATCATCATTTATTGACAATCTGCATTAATTTATCAGTGTGCTATGATTAATCAAAACAGGATTTTCATTTCTATAGGCGCCGCTTATTTATTTATTTGAATTTAGAAATTAATTTGGTAAATTTTATTTGAAACTTTGCTGTTAAACTTCGGTATAAAAGCTTTAACACAATTACTGCGATAAATTATTTTGTTTGTTAACCAAGCTAGTCAAATTCTGTAGCTTTCGGAGAAAAAAAATTGGTATTTACAGCAGAAAAATTTGAACATTATATGAAATAAGAAATTTGAGTGCTTATTTTAGGTGTGATTTATTTTGAAATAGCAAGAAAAAGGAATAGGAAGTGGAAGTAAAGTTAGCTTAGGAACTTTGAAAATATGCGAAATCCAAAATTTTCAAGGGAGTTTCCCTGGACTAAGAGCGTGGGCAAAATGTTTGACTGAGATAAAAGACGCACATCTCTAAGGGATTTTGAAACTTTAAACCATTGAAATTACTGAGCTAAATTGGAAGTATAAAGAGTGACGTATGCACAGAATTTACATATCTCTGGAAGTGATATATTAACAGTGTCCGCGCCACGAATTTGAAAATGGGGGGCAAGGCTATAAAAGTAAGGGACCAAGACTTCCCACACCTTTTACTGTGGCTCGAAAACTACTTGCTTTGCAAAATAGTGGGGGTCATGACCATCCCACCCGCCCCCGGTGGCGCGGGCCCTGATTAACTGTAAAAAAGTTGTTATTTCGTTTCTGTAATTTCTATTCGTTGTTGCCCTATCTTACAACATATCAGCGGGTCGTAACACTTAAAACTATTCAAAGAATTTCATGAATTTTTTTATATTTAAGTGGTGATTTGGCAGTGTTTCTGTTAACTTCCTGTGAAATTTAAATCTCCTCCGTGGCTTAGGTAGAGGGGGTCAGAGGGGGCGAAAAGCCCCCCCCCCCTGTAAAGCTAAACTGCTATTTATCGGAAAATTTCTGGGCTTGTTGGAAATTTAGCACGGTTACCTATTTCGATCTAACTTTTATATTTCGATAGGAAAGATTTTAAAGCTTAATAAACAGTGATTCACATCAAATATTTTTATTTAAGTTCTGATGTCATTATGTTATGTTCAAATTTATGAAAAAATATAACTAGTTATTAGATTTTTGTCGGGAAATGTAAATTTCTCACCCTCCTATGAACTTCCTATCTGCGTCACTGAATCTACTTTTATGAAGTGACGCAGATCCTCTTGAAATGAAACGTTTGCTCGGTTTGTAGATAAAAGGTTATATTTATTGACCGGCCTAGGCTTGTCCCTAGCAATGCACCAATTTCCCCTGTGGTTGCACCACTAACATGAAATTTTGTTTGTACAGTTGTCAAAATAATCAGTCGTCATCATCATAATCATCAAATGGCTTCGTCAGTATCATCATCATCAGCATTTCATTATTATTATTATTATCACCATAATTACCAGAATTACAATTACCAGTATCTTCGTCATTTAGGGGTAGGGGGAGGCTATCATAGTTTTGCGGCTTCACGGCCTCGAGCCTATTTCTACGTGCGGTCTACGGATTTGGCAATGGGTTTTCTGCGGATTGCGGCTTCATAAGATGCGCCTCGCGTCTTTCGGTGTAAATTGGCAACGGTTTACGGCCATTTTTTTCATTATCATTCCGTTCCGTAGATGCGTGCCACGATCAACGCTTTTTATTACATTAAACTTTAAAAGCGTAAACAAATAACGAGTTTCCTATCTTATTCAATTTCTATACATATTTTTCAGGTTTCGATAGAATGTTAACGTTTGACATCTATTGAAATCCTTCGTTATAAGACAACCTGAGGAAAACCGCAGCTTTGTTTAAGGAGGCCTTTTAATTTTTGAACGGCAATTTATCGCATTTCATTATGACTGGTGTAAACGCATATGCGAAGTTTCCGCCTAAATTGATTGCAGGTGAGAGTCTTAGATCGTTGGACTGACACTTCACGGATAAACGTTGGCCACTTCAGAATCATAATCAACCAGAATTTTTTTTGAAGGGCCAAGCAAAGGGAAAACCCAAATGAAACTCGTAAAATAGATTTATTTGAAATTGGAAACACGAGTGAATCCTTGCTGTCACAATCCAGCGTTGTGATTGGCTGTTGAAGTTGACGTCACACTCGGATCCTGCTCTGTTGACATATCAGACTTAGCAAACAGCATGTTGACATTTGCTGTGCCAAATAAATTACACCGGGATAGCCACACGACAGATAAGGGTCGTTCTGAAGGCGGCAGGGCAGTTTGCATGCCTGTATTATTGCAACAATCTTTATAGCTTCTCAGGGCTATTAATAAAATTATATGCAGTTAGGAATATGAAAAGTCCTTCTTCAGAACTGATGATGCTTTGCACACAGACAGCAAGTCAACTCAGGAGCTTGCGCTCGGATCAGCTTGAAACAGAAGGCACAAGTGAGCTGGAAAATCGATTGCAATGGCTTGAAAAGTCAGAAATAATGGCCGAGGAAGATCGAATGAGTGACGATGAATTGGAAAGAGGGAAATTACAGGGCAAGAAGAAAGTACCTCGCCCAATGAACAGTTTTATGGTATTTTCACATTTGGAACGGAAGCGGCTTGCAGAGGAAAACCCTGAGCTGCATAACGCCGACTTGAGTAAAATCCTTGGTCGTAAATGGAAGACATTAACTCCGGCTCAAAGACAACCTTATATCGATGAAGCTGAAAGGTTGCGAGTTCTCCACACTGAAACGTTTCCTGACTACAAGTACAAGCCAAGGCGGCGAAAACACCCAAAGCGAAACACAAAAAAATTTAGCACGCTGTCAGCAAACGATGTCAACCAAAAGACGAAACTTGCACTGAGTTTGGATTGCACTTTACCTGCCATGGCGAATCATCCTATGAATGCAAGAAGTATTGCTCAGAAATCTTTGACTCCTCTGCCGTCGCCACGCCAGTTGTCGCCAATTCCATCCGCCGCAAATCTTGATGCTTTGCTCGACAACCCAGCGATACCACCAACTCCAAGCGACAGTCCTTTGGCAAATCCCGACCTTCATGAAGTTGAAACGAAAACTAACCTAGGTGCAGAAAAGCTGCACGTTCGATCCACGGAGGGAATGACAAATTTTTACAGCTTTTTGCCCCCAACGCCAGAATTAAGCCCCCACGTTTCAACCGCCGTTAGCAGAGCTGCTTTCTCGTTCGATGTTATTCCAAACAGCGAGAGCCTTTCGTCGAAGGAAAATGTTTTTCAAACAACCTCCATTATGCCAAATCCAGTAACTGAAACAGGCAGAGACAGTTTTTCGATAATTTCAAACTTGGCATCGATTTATTCCACTCATGAAGAAAGCCAAACGCCTGTGCGCGATGATGGTCAGCTTTTTGGGGATGTTGATCGAGATGAATTTGACCAATACCTGGGAGCTTCATTGGAAAAATCAACGCTCTCGAGCAGTTTGAGGAATATTATCGCGGAGCTGGAGAGCAGTGATTGCAACAGCTAAAGCACTTTTGTTTGCAATTTTTGCAATTCAAACCTACTTGTGAGAGATGATCCGAGACTAGGTGAGATTTCGAATCATGTTGGAAAGTGAGCATCCAGGGTTCACTAAAGCTTTATTGCATTACAAACCATGTCTTTACATGGAGTTTATTGTTTCAAATTATAGATTACGATGTAATTTAGTATCAAAGCGTTTGGCTGGCAGCAAAATGGGTATTTAAAACCCTTTTGCAGCCGCATCCTGCCACGAAATCTTAAAACTATTTGCATTTGCTGGTGGCAGATTTTTTCTCAAGAAAGGATTGACAAACAATAACTGGATTGGTTTATCACAAGATCGCTGCATCGTATGAGGATAAAAGCCATAATCTCTGGCCAAGACGTAACGGTCTTTTGATACTTTTAATTTTTCCTGACATGGCTAGATTTCCGTAATATGTTAAAGCTCTTTTTGGTAATGTTGCCCACAAGGGTGTGAGACCTCTGAGGTTTCGCCGCATCAAGATAGCAGGACAAAATATATTTCTCTAACTAGGCCTAACTCAAATTGCAGATTTTCCTGTTTGACGAAGAAGTTCAGAAATATTTTCTGAAACAATTCATTTAATATTTCATGCCCTGCCTGCGTAATTTTCGTTTCATAGCAAGGCGTATTTTCTAGCTCATGCTTTTGAAGGCTTCTTGATCTCAACCGTGCACGAATTTTTTTTTTGAATTGCAGGTCAGGTTTTAAAAACGACATGTCATGACCGATGTGATAATGTATTCTGACAAATTCTATCGCGTGTCATTTTTCAGCTTGACAAATTCAAACTCGATCCGTTTGCCGGATCATGTTGCAACTGCCATAGTGGAGTCTCAACTACGTGGATTAAGAATTTCTTATAACTGCATTTGCCAGCTCAAGCTCAACTAACTCCCCTTTTGTAGATTAATAGACCAGCAGGTCAAACTCAACTACTACCCACTGTTGTAAACAACTAGGGTTTTTCACAACCAGACTGTTATTAACAGTCGAAACATGTTTCTTCAATGATCGACTTTGAAAACTATTTGAAAGATTTTTGCATCCAGTACTTTACTTGAAACCCCCATCCTTTTAAGCCAATGATTTTCTTTCAACATAGAATGTCTCTCCAATTAATCAATCAAACGAAATCCTGTCTTCGAATCATAGAGATTGTGGCACATGTGACTTTACCGTCCTGTTTATGTTTTTCATCATAGAAATACGTGTGGTGCTATGAATTGAATAGAGGGTCCATCGCAAAAAATCATAAGAAATGTTGAGGGGCTATTTTATGGCATTAATTATAGGGGCGCACCCCATGCTACATATAAATTTGCTCTAAACCCACGAGCCCCCTTGCTACACAGCCTCTTAACAACTTGGTTTCCCCAGCCTATTTAACTTTGGAAATAAAGGAAATCATTAGCATTACTGGAGAATCCAACCTCCAGTCCCATACTTGTCCTCCCCCCACGCCCCCGCCCCCCGGCACCATGTCATTTTATTTGAGTTCACTCAACAAAGTTCACTCACCTAAAAGTTAGATAGGTGAGTGAACTTTGAAAAGAGATTTGCAACTTAATTTCTTCATTAGGGTAAGTGGAGCTCGCGCGGAATCCTCTGAAAGTATCAGGGGCTGAATATAGGACAAAAGTGACTCGTTTTAGTATGCAAATCCCTGGAAGTGTTTTGAAAGGAGGTGTTTTGTAAGGAGGTGTTTTCTACGAAATCGACTAAATAGGAATCAGCTGATTTTAACTATCTCGATTGTTTTTGTCGGTGTTGACTCATAGCCTGTTTGCCAGTTGCCTTTTGAAAACAAAGATCTTTGTACGTGAAAAAGATTTTAGTTTGAGCCAAAAATCTGATTAAAAGCGTCTTGTTTAATTTGCAATTCATTATTGCATTAAAAACACTTCGTTTCCTGTACTTTGAAAGCCTATCCATGGAATCAGATAACTATGGTTCTGTGTCTGTTGTTATTGCTTAGATTTGGTCTTTATCGTAATCAGCAATATGTCGAAAATTTGAATTACCATGTTGATCGACTTTGATTTTGAAAACCGGGAAGTAAAAGAACCCTGGCCCGATTTAAGTAGCGGCTATAGTCTTGATGCGGCTCGGTCATAGAGGCTCGATGCCGCTTTCCCACTCCGCTAAATGCGAAGAGATGTGATGTCATCACTTCTTTGTAGCGGTTTAGGGGCGGTGTTAAAACTGAAGTATTTTTAGAAGGATAATAATATACGTGTTATTTTTATCGATTGAATCGTGTTAATTTGTATCACACTCCAACAAGGCTCTTCCAGTATTTATTCAACAGGTAGTAAAACAGGGGTTATCAGTTAGGCGAAGCTGTTATAACAACAATTTGCTATTTTCAAATAAACAATGATTCATTCACTTAATCTTGTTTCGTACACAAGTTTTTAAAGCAAAGACGACTGGAATAATCAATCCATGCATTTTGGACTGGGTCAGTAACGTATTCACTGATATTCGACCAGAAATTGGTCTTTTTTACTATGGTTAACCACGAATTTCCTTCTGAAAAGGCGTTAATTGGGGGTATAAAATGGGGATGATAGAGAGGAATGAGTCTCGCTCGTATTGACGATGTTTTTAACACATAGAAAGGGGCGAGGGACGATTCACTCTTGCCAATAGCGTACGAGATTTCGCCTAAAACGAAAGGATTTCTGGGGATTTTCAGATAAAACAATAGGATTTTCACGAAATGTGTACGAGATTTTCTTAGAGTGATTTGCCCCTCGGAAAGGGGGTTTGATAAGGGAGGGTTTTTTAAATAGTTTCGTAATGCCAACAACAGAGGTGTTATAGGAAAGGAAAGCATAAAGGCAAGTGGTTGACCAAATTCTCCAACTGCTCAAGGGAGCTTTTAAATGGTAAAATATGTGCAAATTATCAGCGTATTTATATGCTATCGTTATCAATTAAATGTTTCGTTCATGAAATGTTTTAGTCGCCCATCTCCGCCGATGTCCCTCATACTAGAGTTTGTCTCTTTGGCGAAAGGAGCTTTTAAAGTGGGGCACAGGTAGAAAAGAAACAATGTCTCAGAACATGGGGTATTTTCCCAAAAATATTTTCCCAAGGAAAGAGTGTTTTTAAAAGAAATGTTCACGTTATCCTGGTGCCCCCAGTTCGCGCCTTTTTACTAAGCCCCTAGGCCCCTACAGGCGCCTGTTGTATCCCAGCATTTAGCTTTTTTTCTAGTCACGGTGGAGTTGTTGTTAGAATAACCCATTTTGTATCAGACATCTTTTTATAAAAAAGAAGGGTTATAAACTTGAGCACAATTATAGATAAATAAAGGTTCCTGGTATGCACTCTAGGTTTCTAAAAGAAGCTGCTCATTATGAAAATTGATTCCTCATGATTGGCGTCTCATAAAAATTCCTCTTAATTCTACATAGAAGTAGGAACCTGGGGACACAGCGCTACATGCCCCCATTTTCCATAAACAGTCGTAAAGTTCCTACCTTCAGACTCAGAGGTCCCCTATTTTGACTACATTTGCCCTCAAGGTTTTGATATCCTTCTAACGTGTACGCGAATCTGCCTTTTCCTGTATTTTCGATCTTGTTGTTTTTATATTGATGAACCCTTGCATTAGTGATTATGAATCGTAGTGTTTTAGCTGCAGTATTCCAATGAAGCGTTTAAGCTCTAAATAAATAACATTGTGTTTCTTATGTAAAAATTTTATGTGACTGTGAAGGAGCGACTGAGGAAACTGTTTCCGCACTGTGTAAGAACACACAAACATTTCTTTATTGCCATATTTTAAACATCTATCTTAAGCCTGTTACAATACAGATTATCTCTAAAAGAACTTTTTTTCGTTGTGCAATTTCGTGGTCTGTGACTTTTAGTGTAAGTAAAACGTTGTTGATCTGTAAAATCCAATTCGCCCAATTTGTTCGTTCTTGTTTGATTGTTGTTGCGATTTTAGACTTGGTAATTGGTTCAGATCGATGTATGAAATAACAGAAAAAGTTGGCCTCATTCCTTGTCAAATCTTAGACCGATCAATCAACGGTGATACATGTAACTAGAAAACATTAGAAACACCACTGCCTTATGAAGATTATCAACATTATCATCAACATCATAACGGCAACTGATCAGTGATCACAATCAATTATATCAATCGATCAATCATCATCATCTGGATCATCTAACATCAACAGAATCGAAACGCAATCCCCATCAATCAATCATAATGAATCACTGCTATCGCCATTATCAATCACTGTCATCAGTCATTTTAATCATCAACAGCATCCTCATTCTTAATTTTAATCTCTATCATAATTATATTCGATGTTCATTTATCACTAGTGTCACTATTCCCCATTTCCAGCCTTTGCTATACCGTAGGTCGAAATCATCCAAATCAATCAAAGAGGCTCTTCCCTGGATTTCGCATTTCCCTGGCAACGTTTCCTAAATTCTGACCTAATGCAGTTCATTCCTCGTTTTTTCGACTACGTCCAATAGAATGGCTTTGAGACATTTAAGAACTTATAACATGAAATCAATTTCTTGTAATTTTATTTCGTTTGATTAACTTCTTTCTCAAAATGGAATATATCATTTATGAGGACCATAGACTCAGAGACCCTGCGGCCAAGTCCCTGTGGCCTAGTCCCCTGTGGCCCAGTCCCCTGCCACCTCCATCTCAATGACCCTTTGCACCCAGCATCGCTCCTCTATCCTGCGTACATGGCCATAAAACCCCTATTTTAGAGATAATCATTTAAATTTCACACCGACTAGCATTACCAAAATTGTTTAATGACAAAAAATGCATTATGTACATTAAACGATAATTCAACCAAAAGTACACCACTCGCGAGTTTTTGCAAGGATGGCCTGAGTGTATACCAAGTTTCTTGTCTTCTTGAAATGTTACCACCCTCAAAGCCATCTTATTATTGGATTGGACAAAGCCGACAAATCAAAGGTCCTTTCAAATAGCAAATAACTCGAGAAAAATCTTGAACGCGTTTGGTGAAAATCCTTCGATGAGAATCTAAAAGTCCGTGGAAATCCTTTTGTTTTGATTTTAAATCTTGTACGCTAGTTGCAAAAGTGAATTGCTCCTTGGGTTCTTTGTTGCGCCACATGCTCACTCTTTCTGATTCCCTACCCTACCTCGCATCAACCTTTTAAAGAGCAGCTAAAGACCTTTTTTCGGGATGGGTTTAAATTTTGTGCTACGATAATCTGCTTTGCTTGGGGTCTATCGAGGTTAATTCGTTTACAGTCTGACCTGAAGTTATTCGAAGATTCACCTGAGTCTCTTGGCTGTCTCAAGATTTGAAAATTGAAATTCGATATTGAAAAACGAAGCTTCGGGGAGTCGCTTTGCCTGAATTTGATGAAATCCTCTTGCTCGGGTACTTTTATAACGGAATAGTATTGATCAAGGTCAGTGAAGCGTTATAAAGAAGGATTATGTTTGCTATATGATAATTTCACGACGGATAGTGAAAAGGCATCAGATGAGATTTAAATATAAGCTGCCATCAGCCGAAGCTTTTTTCATTAGTAGATCACTGAATTTCGTCCGCCCTCAAAATTTTATCAAATACACTGTTTTGGGAAAGAGCCTGGAGGCATTCTTGCGAAAAGGTGTGTCAATAGATCATAAAATGGACTTAACTAAACGTCTGCTAAACAACGACTTCTCGACTTTTAACGCCACATTTAATAAGAGTACGGTGATGAGTAATATACAGATTCGCAAGGGGCCTGGGGCAAGTAGCGGAGATGATACGTAACTTCCTTTCAAAGCAGGTTGGATGCCAAGTAGAAGAGTAAAAAGGTTAAGAGATTTTTGAAATGATTTGAATAAGAAATACAAAAAACCGTGTTAAAAAGAAATGGCAATTGTTTCTCTACTTTTTGAGTCGCTATAATGTAGCAAACTGCCAGCCTGCAATGACTGCATATAAGTGGGGAAGGGGGCGTAATAAGTAACGAATGTTTTGAGCCCCTTCGCTTCTTTAGAAGAATAACGCTGCTTATTCCTTGTTTTAGAAGTTTTCCCCGGACCCCTTGTTTTTATAGCAATACACTCCTGGTGATATGGACAAAGTAAAGAACCATTAGAAATTGTCAAGGTATTGCAAAGTATCCAGCTTTTTTGTCAGAGCTTTTTTGTCAGATGGTCACCAACTGAATTTTATACATTTATATTAAACCCTCTTATACGCGTATCAGTATGTTTTGTTGTTTTGTTGTAGAACAAAGCATATTAGACGACGTCTCCTTAACTCAGTGGTCATGTGCTCGCGTTTCTGATTGGCCCATTTTGATCCACAACTTTGTACATATTCGTATATATTTAGTATATATTTCCTAGCATAGAGTTTTCGATCTATGTTATGACATCTTATTATCTGAAGAGTGTCAGGCGAAAAGCTTAAGAATGATTCAAAATTTAAGCTTCTTTCAAAGCCATTTTCTATATTTAAAAACTCTTCATCACCGGTTCCGTTGGAATCGAAAGAACTGGGAACCACATGCTTCCCCCATCTTTACATTTTTCCACCAATGGTAAAAAGTCATTTTTTCCCATTTATCTAAAAAATGTGCCATTCGCGTGTCGTTTAAATCCCAAATATCGCCCTTTCTTATTTTGCCCCCTCTCCGTCACTTTTCCTTCTCCGTGGTCATCTGCGACTATCCGATTAACTAGATTTTATAATTTTTGTGCAATTTTTCAGTTTTTGAAAAGAATGATAAAAGAATATCGTTCTTGTGAATTTGCTTTCGTTGATGCTGTAAATGTATCCGGTAGATAACAACGAAGAACACTTTTACTCGGTCTGTGATGCCCCATTTTGTATACTCATGCCCAACATAACGTCAATACGAGGCTTATAACGTCACAGCTGCATAGCAAAAGAGGCTGTTAGACAGCAACCTAAAAGGAACAGAACTTGTTTGTGTCTGGTTAAAACAGAAGACTAATTTTTCTCTCTTTCCTTTCCTTTTCTGTTGGCAAACAAATTCTCGTTGCATTACAAGATTTGTTTCGTCTTACATTTTAAAACGAAACTTTAGGGTATTTTTAATCCACGTAAACATGACAAAGCAAAGCATATCTTTCTAAACAACAAACTTATATAATTTCCTATCTTTATAACTGCTTATCGAACAAGAAAAACATCTCCATTATATCCATTTTCAACTTATTAGTTTACAAATAACATGTTTAAAATCATCAAAACTTCACGATCGATGTTGTTACTATCATCAAGAGCAGTCGTAATTTTTTTCAGTTTGTACCATTTTCTATCCTCATTAAAAACAACGTATCAAGTTTTTCTACGTCTAACTTTTGGTTCAGTTGTAATGGAAAAGAACTCTTGGCCTAAAGTTGGATAATTTCATTTGTCAGTTGAGTAGGTTGAGTAGCGTTGTGGCTTGGAGTAGCAGACCTAATACCCTGGGTACCAGACTCTCTATCTTATTTGATATATAGTGAGTCTGGTACCCAGGGTACAGACCTAACTACTAGTCTAACAAATCGACATGTCGTATTTTTATGTGGCTTTTTATGTGGGATACTAAAAGGGCAGTTTATCTAACTAAGGCATAATATGCGTTAACCATCTTATGTAACAACCGTGTCTTTTTTGTTGACCTGTGCCCTCTAACGACCTCTGCTCTCTAGCGACCTGCGCATTCCAGTGATTTATTTTTGCAAGAAGAAGACTTATTGATAAAACTTGAATAAGGTGTCCACACTAACAAGCTAATTGCTAAATCCTTCAATGTGAAATCAGCATCATATGATTCGAACCTTCAAGGGAATAGGCCTTTTTTGTTTAAAATGCTGAAATAAGCTCAAATTATTAAAATCTTGGCTAAAGAGGGCTACTTGTACCCTGGGTACCAGACTCACTCTACATAAAAGGATACTTGAACATTGCAATAAAAAAGACATGTTCAAAATACAAACATTCTACTTGTGTGGAAGTCAAGTACCCAGATTTTAATTGCAACTTGTAACTGTCTCATGTCTAGTCTCACGTTGTAAAAAATACAGCGAGCTTCAAGCATCGATTAGTAGAATATACCCTTAATTCAAAAGGCGAAAATAGTAACTAGAGCAATCCAAAAATAGCCTTATCTAACAAAAAGGTCTTTGAAAGTGGTAAGCCGTTACACCTGATACCCATAAGAACTTTTTGCGGTTGATCTGAGAACAAACGCCTGGGCTACAAGGTTTTCCTAAATTGTATCTCAGATCAAATGCTATGACGTCAACCTAAGCTATCATCGGTTGTCTGCGCGTCATTCCAAAGAGATTTGCCACCAGAAGATACAAGGCGCCAACTTTTCTTATTAGTCTCTGTTTAGGCTTAGGGGTGAGCCCAACATTTCCCTATTTGACTCGAATCTGTGTACATAGGTGTCCATATAGCATTGAGGAACGACGTCTGTCGTTGGTTCTGACTCAGACATTCGCAGCCACTGCTTTACAAAGCTCAGAAAAGCTGTCAGCAACGGTCAGTTTTGCTGATCTTCAAAACCAAGGTCAATAAGGTGTGGAAAAAGCACTATTCAGTCCAGTTTTTTATCACTGTACCGTTTGTCTATACGAATGTACATACGTTGAGGCCATTAATGGACTCAGGCATATCATGCCATTCTAGAACAGTTTTATTGAAATCGCCTATTTTTGGCTCATATTGAAAACTAGGGGATGGAGAAAATTGGCCAAAATTTACACAAAGCTTAGATAAGATTGCAGAAAAGTTGGCCACAACTGGGTCACTGTGAATATCAAAGGAAGAAGGTACCCTTTGAAAACTTTATATTGCTCCTACAAAGTAAATTTTCCCTCCTAGATACAGTAGTGTAGTTTTATCGAAATGACAAGGGGGGCTCCTGCACAAAATGCTGAAAAACAATAGCAAAAGTAGAAATCTGCCAATTTTCGGCATGAACAAGGGGAGCTCAACCCCCCTGAGCCCCC